GGCTCCCGTCTCCCTCGGGAACTTGTAGTTTCTTGTTTCACGGAGTTCGCTGGGCCCTGGGAGCCGACTTAGCCGCTGGGAAAGAGCACGAGGCTTCGCCAGCAGCCTTTTGTCCCCGCAGAGCCGGAGGACTTTCCGCCGAGGGGCCAGTATTGGAGCTTGACCCCAGTGTAGCAGGGGTCTGGTGAGCGCTGGGGTCTCCCGGAATTGCACCCAGAGGTAGCACCGGCGATTTCATTTGTCTGAGGACTTGAGTGTTGATTGAGAGAGGAAGTAGATTCCGATCTCACAGGATTCCTTTCCAGACCTTTGGGAAGGTTTTATGCTAACCAGCAATTGCGGACCACAAAGCGAGCTATTTAAATGCAGATTCCGGAATTCCCTAAGGGTCCTAGCGATGTATCCAAAAGGTGTGCGCCAAATTAAGGTATTTGTTTGTTAAACTAACGTCTCCCTTTTCCAAACAGTAGGCATTTCCTAGTAATCCCTTGCACACTAGCGCACGTGCTGGCCGTAACTAACATCGGCACTAAAAACTAGCCTTTAACTGCCCCCTGGAGCGGAGCGTCGCAAGAGCACGCTGGGCGCTTGATCGATTCCTTCCTGCTCTGAGTTGGCTTTTGTTGGGCATGGTGGATCTTTGACCCGCGGCCGGGCGCCGACGCCCGGTGCTCGTAGGTTGAGCGTCCGGCCGCCGGGGAAAGTGGGCTCGAGTTTCCGCGCCTGGGAAACGAGCGCCGGCGCTGGAGGGCGTGGCCGTGGGCGGAGGGATTTTCGTCGGACCGGGCGCGTGAGGCGCCCGTGCCGAGCGGCGCGGCCTTGGCGAGGGGCGCGCAGCCGGCGGTGTGGCTTCTGCGCGGGCTCGCGGGTGGCAGAGCCAGGTCGCGGACACCATGCGGTCTTGCAGGAGCAGTGAGGCTTCCAGGAGACTCACTTGCAGCTCCGGGGCGCGCTGAGGCGGGAGGTGCGTGTCCCGAGAGCGCCGTTCGCCGAGCGGGGCGAACTTGGCAGTAAGTTTGAGAGGAACGAAGTTCGGGATTGCGGGCGGGCGGGCAGAGCGCCGCGAAGGGCTGGCGCTGCCAGTGCCGGGCGGCTTGCAGTTTGCTCGTCTAGAGGCGCAGCTTGGCGGCTCTCTGAGTGCCTTTTCCAGACGCTCCCGTTCGGGATTGTGTTCGTCCTGGGGCTTCCGAAAATCAGTTTCAGGAAAGCCCCGCAGGAAGGTTGGTGCTGCCCCGAGTGCCTTCCCTCTTGGAAAGTTGAGCCCGGCGCTGGGTCGGGGCTTGCTGGGCGGGGGGAGGGGGCGGGAGGGGCGTCGCTCCAGACGTGGACGGAATGGGAATTCCCGAGCCGTGCTGCGGGAGCGGGCCGGAGACGGCGGCGGCGCCTGCCGCCCTGGGCTTGGTCCTGGAGCCGGCGCTGCCCATCAAAGCGCCGGCCGCCGGGCAGGGCAGCCGGGACGGATGTAGCTTCCGCTGCGCCCCGCAGCTCGGGAACTTTCTTCTCGCTGGGAAAACTCTGGTCCGCTCGTGATTTAACCGAACTCGCCCCTAGGTGAATTCTTCCCACGTAGCATCGATTCCCAGCGCACGGGCTATCTAGTAGCCCTACAAGCTGATGGGGGTCTTTGACTTAGAGTCGCAGAGGCCCCTCCAAGGTTTTGCGCCCCGGAGGAATGTTGCCCTGACGCTTCAATGTAACTGATTGGTTGTAGTTTGTGAATGAGTAGGATTGGAAAATTGCTAGACTGTAGACGTTTGCAAAATAGGCACGTTTTCTTAATGGAATTGTCACTAGTTTTCTCTGGAAGAGAAAGTTGTGTGAAAGATTTGATTCTTCCATGATTTTTCTTATTGAAAGTGCTTTCTTCTGGACTGATTTTTCTGTTGTCACTAAGATTTCCTCCCTCCCCTCCCCTCCCCCCACCAAGTGAATTTCAGGCCTTTGAAAACAAGGAAGCAATTGTGTGCATTAGGAAAGTAAACTCATAAATATTTTCTGTGCAATTAATTTAATTTTTAAAGATTTGTCTGAACGGTGGGTTCATTAAATGGCATTTGTTAAGCAACTCTGGATCATGGTAGAGGACTTTGTTGATTTTGAAACTTAAAAGTGACTTAAAATCGAACAAGATTTAATACACATGACTAAGTTTTTGTTCCTTTTTACCAAGCACATTCTTTATATTGAGAGAGAAGTTTGGTAGTGGTGATATTTTAAGTTTTTATTGTTATCCATACATCCAGTTGTTACAGATATCAGTGTTTCTCCAGTTAACCTATGTTAATTCTGGTGTCTTGGGAAAACAGCTCTGATCAATCACTTAGAATTATTACCTTTTTTTCTTTATTCTTATTTCAGCTTGAAATTGTAAAAATGCCAAACCCTAGCATAGTATTAAAAAAAATTTTTTAACCATTTTTTATTTGATGCAAATAGGATTTGCATTTGTGTGCACATTTCTTGAAGAAAAAAAACGAACCCTTTATCTTAGCCAAATTCCTTGTTACTCCTCAAGGAAATGTGGTAAAGGACATAATAAAAACCATTCAGTCCACCTGTGTACTCATTTGTACCTCTTAGTCACGAGTAGTCACCCCTTCATTCAGCAGATCTTGTAGAGCCATGAAGGATGAGCATATGCCAAAAGGTGAATCTTGCAAAAAGCAAATTACCTGTAAAGTCATACTGTTCTCATTTCCCTTACCTCCCTTCATTTGCAGCGCCTGCCTTTTAGAGCTAGCTCTGGAGCAGTTGTTTCCTTAAAAGTTACAGGTGGAGCGAGTCTTATACGTAATCTGTTAAAACTTCTTTATGAAGTCTATCACCACCTGTTCCCCTCTCTAGTTTGGCAGATTTTACATAAGATCAATAAGCGGAATCAAATTATTGTATTTTTATTCCATTAAATGTTTTCCCAGTGGCCCAATTCATGGCCTAAAGGACTTACTTAAATAGCAGAGAGCCATAAGGCTAGGTGTGCTATTTAATCTTTATGAGCTGGAATTTGCAGGAGGTAAGCATTCTTTGACTAAATTATATAGATGATGAAGCCAAACTATGTTTTTGGCCTCACATAATTGCTCAATTTGCAGATTTCAGTTTATCTTTAGACACGGATAAACTGGGAAGTTTTTTAAATGAGTGATGTGTGTAATTCATTTAACAGGACACTTAGATGATACTTAGAAAGTTGCCCTTTTCTCATATCACCCTGTTCCTTCAACTATTACTATTCAGTCAGATTGGGATTTTGTATTTTTAACGTTTGTAGAAAATCATATTTCTTTGTTTGAGGCATAGATATAAATACAGTGCTCAATTCTTCCGTAATCCAAGGATTCATTATGCCTGTGGAGATAGATCTATAAAGTATTAAAATATCTTCTAGAAATGACTGAGGTCAGTTGTGTAGTCCTTCCAGTTCTACAGTAC